TCGCTGGCTGGGGAATTCTGGGAGTTGAAGTCCGGACATCTTCAAGTGGCCAAGGTTGAGAAACACTGGCTTATAGGAACACATTTTGGGCTCCATTGTGGTCGTAAGTCGAGGACCGCCTGTATCCCAACGTCCTGTGGTCTTTGGAATTACTGGCTGCCCCCCCCCCCACATCCCCCGTTGTATGTGGGAAGGGGGGAGGGATATATCCCAGGACTGAAGCCGCTGCTGAGTGCAGCTGCTCTGTGGAAGCGACCGTCATAATCTCAGGCCCCCTCTGACCCAGACCTGGCCACTCACCTGAGGGAGCCCGTGCGCAGGTGCTGCCCCTTGGCAGGAGGAGGAGGAGGAGGAGGGAAGCTGGCAGAAAGAGCAAGGGAAGGAAGGAAGGAAGGAAGGAAGGAAGGAAGGAAGGAGGGGGGGATGGAGGAAGGGAGGGATGGAGGCAGGGAGGGAGGGAGGGAGGGTCAGCCTCCTCCTCCCTCAGCAGGCAAGATCCCACCGAAGCGGCTTCCGCAGCCTGGGGTGGCCGGAGAAGAAAGCGGTTTGGCTTGGCCGCCCCCACCCCAAGGACGAAGCCCGGCGGCTTCTCTCCTGTCAACGCAGCACTCTGGAAAAGAGGAGAGGCTGGCGTTAAAACTGCAGACGGACACCTGCCTTAGAAGGCTGGGGAGAGCCGAAAGGGAGGAAACCCCCCCCCCGTTTCTCAAGAGCAGCCACTTTCTCAAGGCGGCAAACGAAGCAAATCCTATTTTCCTAACACCGGCCCTGCGAGGTGGGGAAGTCTGGCCCTGAGTCACCCTGCTGCCTTAAGGCAGGGCTGGAACTCCCCGTCTCCTGGTGATTGGCCCAAAATCACCCAGTTGGCTTTCATAGCTAAGGCAGGACTAGAACTCCCAACCGCCCCGGTGTCTAGCCCGGCGCTTGACCACTAGATCAAACGGGGCACCCTGAGGGCGTCTGCTCCAGAAGGAAGCAGAAGAGGCATTATCTCCCTGCCCCTTGCCATCTTTAAAAGCTTCCCTCTGCCCTGGCAGAAATATTTTCAATTTTATTTCTAAATGCTGGATCGCCACTGGCAAAGAGAGAGAACAGACCAAATCTCCACCTTGGAAGTGGCTCAGTGGTTAAGACGCTGAGCTTATCGATCAGAAAGGTCGGCGGTTCGAATCCCTAGCATAGGTCTCCTGCGTGAGCAGGGGGTTGGACTAGATGACCTCCAAGGTCCCTTCCAACTCCGTCACGGTCCTTCTGAGAGACATAATTTCCTGACAGTTAGAACAATTAACCAGTGGAATGGCTAGCCCAACTGGAGATTTTTACCAAGAAATTCAGACAACCCTTTGTCTGAAATGTTAAGTTTCCTGCTTGAGCAGGAGGTTGGGCTAGAAGACCTCCAAGGCTCCCTTCCAGCTCTTGCTATTTGGAGCTGTGGTGTTGCAGTGCTTGGAATGCAGGATTGCGGGCTGACTCTGCCAACTGCCAGCAGTTTGATTCTCACCGGGCTCAAGGCTGACTCAGCCTTCCGTCCTTCCTTCCCAGGTCGCTAAAAGGAGGACCCAGATTGTTGGAGGGGGGGGGGGCGTGATAGGCTGATTCTGTAAAGCCCTACGAAGCGGTGCAGAAGCCTCTTGCTCTTCCGTTAACCGGAGCAACGTGTCAGAGAAATTTTAAATCTGAAGAAACGCAACTTCAGCCGACTGACTCCCCATAGCCTGGAGCCCACTTCTGCCTCCCTCCCACTGCAGGGCCAAAGGAGGAACAGGGCACCACGGAGGGCACTAGGACACGAGGCTGGGCTTGCAAGGAAGGCCAGCCCCAAGTCCTGCCCCATCGTTTCAAAAGCGAGACGTAAGGCAATTTTCCTGGCAGGCCCTTCCAAGCGTTTCCTCCTTCGGCTCAGAAGCCAGAGGCCCTGGCTGCCCCCACCATCTTCTTCCTCCACCTAACCCACAGGGATGCCTTCCCGCCTGCTCTAACCACTCTGCTTCCGCTACCACAGAAGTCTAGGATTTGAGGATCCAACATCGCGATGATACGGACGTGCGGTCTCCATGCTCCGAGACTGTAGCCAATACTTTTGCCACTGGGTGGTCCAATCGGACCTAAACCGTCCCACAGAGACGGTGAACAGGAAGAATATGTCTTGCTGACCTCAGGGATATTGCAAAGTCCCTGATCGATGCGAGAGAAGTTCTTCAAGCCGGCGACAAAAAATCCAGCCAAGGCTGACGAAGTCGGGGCGGCTCCAAAACGGAAGGATACGGAAAGAGAAAGTGTTTCCAGCTTGTGAGGAACTTTTACTGTTTTAAAAAGAGACTGCCTACAAAAAACTTAAAATTAATTTAAATTGGAGAACAGAAGAATCAAGCGGNCTGAACAAGTAGTAAAAAAAATGCTACCGGTTCGCCTGAACAAGAAGTAAAGAAAATTATACCAGTTCACCTGAACCGGTAGAATTTTTTACCACCGGTTTGGTTCCGATGATCAGCTGTGTGACGATCAGCTGTGCCGCACAATTTTTTACTACCAGTTTAGGCGAACCAGTAGTTCCGACAATCAGCACCATTTGGTGAGCATCTGCGCAAAAAGTGAAACAATGGGAGACATCAGAGCATTTCACCCCTGGTCAAGAAGAAGGGGGGACAGCCCCTACCTTGAGGGACATGAATGCCCCTGAGGAGTCAAAGGTGCCCATCTCCTCTTCCTCATCCTCCAGGCACCACTCGGGCAGCCCGTCCTTCTCCTCCTCAAAGCTGTCACTGCTCTGCCGATGGCGACGTCCCCCCCGCGGCTCCTCCTCACGCTCTCGGAAGTCGAAGTCAAACTTCCGCCGCCGCCCGTCCCCGCCGTGCTCCCGCCAGCCAGCCGAACGAGGCCCTCCATCTGGGGGGAGGGAGAAGTTTGTTGAGACTGCAGGGAGTCCTTGACCTACGACCGTTTCTGCCATCAAGCGAGTTTTGCCCCACTTTACGACCGTGCTTGCCACAATTCTTAAGTGAACCCTTGGCATGGATAAATTAGTAACCCAGTCGTTAAGTGAATCCACCTTCCCCATCAACTCTGCTTGTCACAAGGTCGCAAAAGGAGAATCATGTGCAAGCCGTCATAAATTTGAGTCCGTTGCCAAGTGCTTTAATTTGGATCACGTGACCATGGGATGGTGCAAACCATCATAAGTGTGGAAAACGATCGTAAGTATTTTTTCGGTGCTTTTGAACTTTGAAGGGTCACTAAACAAACTGTTGAAATTCGAGGACTGCCTGTATCGGCCGAAGGGTCTGTCCCTTTGGGAGCCCCAAGGAGACGCCACGGGCAGCTCACCTGGGCTGGCCGACCGCCAGCGCTCGCTCTCTCGCCGGGACCCCCCGCTCTGCCGCCAGCTTCCTCCTGACCCGCCCCCCGCGCTGCCGCCGCCCTCTCCCTCCTCCTCGTGCTCCTCACGCAGCGTGCGCCAGTTGTCGCTGTCCGAGCGGGCAAAGTCTTTGCGGCTGGGGGGAGCCCCCTCCTCAAAGGGGGCACGGGCTAAGAAAGAGAGCAGCCGTCACCCCTCCCCCTTGGCAGAGACGGCCGCCTCCCCCAAGGACACAAAGTGGCCGAACGACCCTCCAGCCCCAACGGGAAACTCCCCACCCTCCTCTCTGCAGCCTCCTGGGGGGGGAGAAGCACCCGGGTGGGTGTCTCCTCTGCCCCACACGTACCTCCTTCCCGCCGGATGGGCTTCTCAAACCGCCGATCCCCTCTGCGGGAAAAGGAGAGCATCAGGGTGTGGAACAGGCAGGCCAGCCCCACTGTGCCCCCGTCCAAAGTTCTGCCCCTACTACGCACCGGTCATCCCAACTCTGGCTGCGGTGGATTTCGCGGACCCCTCCTCGGCCAAAGGCTGCGCCTTCCGCCTCCTCGATGCTTCTTTGGTAAAAACCGCTCTCGCCTCGCCCGCGGCCTGCTATTTTCGAGGAGGGGGCAGACAGGAGGCGCGTCACAGAGGCAGGCCGCTGCCCCTTATGGAAAGGGGGAGAAGGCCCAGCCCATGGGGTATGCCGCCACCTCCCCCAAAACCTCCTTACCTCGGCTCCGCGTGCTACCTCTCCCACGGGAGACCCCCGCGGGGGCCACCCCGGCCCCCTTTCCCATCAGCCTCAGCACGGCCACGCTGTTGACGGACATGGAGAAGTTCCGCTGCAGGAGGCCAAAGAGGAGAGGAAGAGGTGAGGAAGGGAAGGGCCAGGCCCTCGTCCTCCTGCCAGGGCAAGCAGCCCCCAAACTCACCTGCTCTTCTTCGGTCAACGGGACCAACGCCAGGGGCTGCAGAGGCTCCTCCTCCAGGATGGCGGAGAATTCACGGTCTTGGATTTCGTCAGGGACCTGCCAGGAGGACGGGGGGGAGCGGAACCTCGTGTGACCAAAGGGGTCTCCAAACTCCGAAACTTTACGACTTGTGGACTTCAACTCCCAGAATTCCTCACCCAGCCACGGTCCCCCTGTGTGCCCTCCTGGCACCCGCACTCTGCCCATTCGGCTTCCTCAGGGGGTGCCCCTCCTGCCCCTAGGCCAGAGACAGGCTCGGTCCCCGAGCACCTACAGGTTCCCAGGCTCACCTTATTGTCTTTGACGTAAAGTGCTAGCATCTCTTCCCGCCCGTATCGGTACTCGGCTAGTTTGTACTTTGGCATGGCAGGGGAGGATGGCGGGGAAGCCACGCTGCCCCCACTGGAGAGTGCGCGAAGCCTGCGGGAGCAGAAGGCCGGCGTGAGACCAGAGCGGAGGAGGAGGAGGAGGAGGAGGAGGAGGAGGAGGAGTGGAGTGGGAGGCCAGATTTGCCCAGCTCGGAATTTGGCAGCAGGGGGCAAGGTGGCATGGCATGGCGAGACAGGGGGCAGCCAGAAGGTTTGAGGGACAGAAGGGCCCCTTCAGGGACTCAGGACTCCTGGCCAGGTAGCAGAAGAGGAAAAGGCGAGAGGGAAAGAAATCCTAAAATGAATTTAAGGCGAATTTACGTGTCCCACAATAACGTGGCAGGATCCAACCGGAGTGGGTGCCTGGGACCAGAGGTTGAATCTTCCGAGCTTTTGGACTTCAGGGGAAACTTCCTGACAGTGAGGACAATTCGCCAGTGGAACTGCTTGCCACCAGAAATCCGTCCCTGGAGGCCTTGCAGGAGAGACTGGAGAGTTCCTTGTCTGAGATGGTAGAGGGTCTCCTTCCTGTTAGGGGGCTGGACTAGAAGACCTCCAAGGTCCCTTCCCACTCTATTCTATTTTAGCTGGACTTGTGCTGGAGCCCATCCTCTTTTTTTTTCCATTTGCAATTCAAGATTTTTTATTATTTTAATACAAATTATACATAATATTGTAGGAACCAAGTGTTGTCTTTTCTTTTTACATAGTCCATTTTACATCATTAGTTTTGCTTTCACTTTCATCCAAATTATCCTCTTCTACTCTTTTCGCCTTTATACTTATTTTTCTTACTACATAAACAACCTCTTCAATTGCCCCTTCGAAGTTACATCAAATTTCCATTTCTCCTTTTCTCCATTTATATAATATTTTGCTATAAACAATATAGATCTTCTAGTTCAATTTAAACATAGAGAGTGTTTCTTTCAATTTCTCTACAATGAACAATATACTACAGTTTCTTTATTTCTTTATCAGTTACCTAACAATAACAATTTTACTACTATTCTGTTTGGTCTACTAATGAAACTCTTTTCTTCCTCTTTTAACCATTTTTCTCTTTGGCTCTCAAAAATTCCACTCTTAATTCTTTTTCTCTTTCTCCTCCTTTCCCCTGACTTTTTCTTTTTCCTGTTTTTGTAGTTATTGTATCTTTTCTTCAAGAGTGCTTACTTTTATTATTCTAGCAAACTAGGGAAACTTTTTTCGTAATAGTCCAGAAGTTTGGAAGAATAAAACTTTGGTTCCGGGGGACCAACTCCGGTTGGATCCTGTAAAGACGGGGCCCTCTTGGCACCATTTCCGTTTCCCTTGGGGCCCTGGATCTCCTGCGCCGCCCCCCTCCCTGCTTGCCCTCTTTCTGTCGGGGCTGTGCCCCCCCCTTCACTGCCCCACTCACCATTCCGGCCCGAAGTTCAGCATCTCGGCGGCCATCCTCCTGTCTTGGGGCGGCTCTCTGGCCGGCTAAGACGTCCTTCCTCAACGCCCCGCTGAGACCCCCCGACAGCCCAAGCGACGGTGGAGAGCTTCAAGGGAAAGGCAGAGGGGTTGCTACCGCCACTCCCCATTTCTCGAGGGACCCCAGAGGGGAAAAGGGGGGGGGGGACAGCCTGCTCCCTGTGGGAAGAGCCCGTCGCTCAGACGGGGGGGGGGGGAGAATGGCCCGTCCTTAAGGAGGGGGGGCTGCCCTCCTGATGTACCTTAAAACTCAGCTGTGATTCTTTCCCTCCGGCTGGGTGTGCGTGCGGGGGGGTGTTATGAAACCCCCAAGGAGCCTACAAAAGTGGAAAGGACACCAATGGGCAATGCCAGATGGGGGAGCAAAACAAGCCAGAGGGTTTGCTGGCTGCCCTTCCTTCCACCAGACCCATCCTGCAGGTGGCTTCTGTGAGCCAAGCATTGGCAGAGACCCATCACCGGAAGGTTGGTTGTTTTTGACAGAAGCGTTGCGTGATTTAGGCCACTGCCCTGGAGTCAGGGTGGCACCGGCAGCGCCACCTGAGCCCCGCCCGGCTGATAATTCATTTATGACCTTTTTTTTATTCCCAGAGCTATTTTTAACCGGCAAGCGACCGATGGCTTATCTCAGAAACGGAAAAAATTATATCAAGACGGAGAGACCAAAATAAATCACGCTGGTTTTCCCCAAGATACGTCTCTAACACTGCTTGGCCCCCAAGGGCACCTGCAGGCTGGACCTGGGGTCCCTAGCGGCAGTGGGGGCTGCTCCCAGCCTGCACCCTCCTCTCCCCAGCTTCTCGGCACGGGTGGTCATCAACTTACAACCGTTCATTTAGGGGCCGGAGTTACAAGGGAAAGTCGCTGAGAAAAAAGTGACTTGGGGCTGTTTTTCACGCTTAATGACGGTTTGCGGGATGGCTATGGCCACACGATCAACATTTGGGCACTTGGCGATGGCTTCGCATTTACGACGGTCGCTGGGTTACACGCTCTCCCTTTTGCGGCCTTCTGACAAGCCAAGTCAACGGGGGAAGCCGGATCCGCTTAACGACAGTGCGAGACTCACTTGAAGGGCAGCGCTTCACTTAATAAGGGGTGGCAAGAAAGGGCGTGATTTACTTAACAACCGCTTCACTTATAGCAGTGTTTCTCAACCTTGGTTGCTTGAAGATATCCGGACTTCAACTCCCAGAATTCCCCAGCAGTGGTTAGGACAGTGTTTCTCAACCTTGTCAACTTGAAGATGTCCGGACTTCAACTCCCAGAATTCCCCAGCCAGCATTCGCTGGCTGGGGAATTCTGGGAGTTGAAGTCCGGACATCTTCAAGTGNATATGCTGACTCTGTAAACCGCTTAGAGAGGGCTGAAAGCCTTATGAAGCGGTATATAAGTCTAACTGCTATTGCTATCTTTAACCGGGGGGGGGGGGGCAGCCCCCTACAGTTTCATGGGGAAAAGAACCACCAACCAATTTTTGGGACTTCTGGCATCTTTGGGAGTTGAGGTCCACAGCTGCCTACGGCAGCATCCACTACAGGAATTTAACAAACCACCATTGGTGTTACGTGTCCCAGCTCCAAGCACCCTCACTTCTGGTGTCACAGAAAACCCACCCTTCCCCATTGGGCAACTTTTGACTCTCGCTGGCATAACACCTTAGCTGCCTAGGTCTTAAATTCTTAAAAACAGATTTACCTGACTGAGCTACAAAAATAAAAATAACACACACACACCTGCGTGTTTTAGTCCCTCCTGATTCAAAGCCGTATTTGTGGAGGCGCTGAAGTACCTCAAAAAGAAACTGTCCTCCTGACACCTCCTTCTCCCACCCAGGAACCCTCGGTTTAAATGGAGAAATAAATTAAGCACCTCTCTCCCTTTCTACCAGCTATCACCTGCCTCAGGTAATTGGGCCCAAAGCATCTTTCAGTTCAGGAGAACTCCTGGTCACTTCCTCCTTGCAACAGGTGACCCGCAGCTTCCACACATATCCACCTATCAACAACCACGAAGGGGACACTTCCCTGGGTTGACAATTTTGTAAGGCACACAAGTTCCCATGACGGCCCAAATGCCAAAAAATTATCCTACACCTGAATTCAAAACGGAAGGCAGCCGCCCAACAGATACGCGCAGACAACTTTCGGCAAATCAAACCTCGCCGAAGATTCTCCGTCCTCCAGGTCAAGTGTGATTTTTATTTCAGAAAAGGCAGCTGAACTGATTAGCGAGAGCCAAGTCATCCCAACTGCCAATAACTGTCCTTCCATCTCTGACACCACACCCAGTGCCAACTGATGACGCTTCCAGGATAGGAAGCGAGATGTTTTTTTTCTCCTCCTTCCTCCCTCCTCAAAAGATCAGTTCCTCCTTCCTCCCTCCTCAAAAGATCAGTCCAGTTACTTTTCTGGAAATCAAAACCACTTCTGACATTCTGCAAATCACCCTCGTATCTTTTCCACCGCCACAGCCGAGCGTGTAACCTGGTTTTCTTCCTCATATACTGGATGTAGTGGGATACTGAAAGCAATTCCTGAGCGTAAGCAGAGGACAAATTTTTTTTTTTAGAAAGGATTCTACAGAGAAAGGCTCAGCGTGCATAACCAAAAAGGCATCCACATTATTAGCAGATCCTGAATATTTGGTTCCACCACAAAACCGCGGAGGACAAAATCGCGCTCGACGAANTGCTGGAGCTAAGCAGCCCCCAGGAGAAAGAGTTGGCAAAACAGCTCAGTTCAAATTGGATCTGGCCGAGAAGGAGGCTCAGCAGAAGCACCTCACTGAGGACTATGAGCATGGGCTTTCCAGGCAGAGGGAAGACCTACGGGAGTGCAAGGCCAGGTACGGGCACCTGGAGGCTCAGCGGGCTGAGGTGGTCAGCCAGTTCCAGGCCATGATGCTGTCCCACTGGAACGAGGCCCTCCGGCTCTTTGCCACTTCCCTCCAGCCTTCGCCCAAAGCCTCATATCCAGGAGGCCAAAGCAGACCCCAAGTCGGAATTTCTGCCCCCCTCCGACCCCCACAAAGAGACCCCGAAGGGGGAGACTCTCTGCAGCAACACAATCGTTTACTGCATGTATCCAGCCCAGGTGCCGTAGTTTGAGGACCCCTGATTGAGTGCAATATTAAAAAATACAAATCGTTTTTCTGCGGACCGCCAAAATATTCTCGCGGACCACCAATTGGTGACCGCTGCTCCAGGACAGTGTTACTCAACGCTGGCAGTTTTAAGACTTGTGGACTTCAACTCCCAGAATTCCCCAGCCAGCTTGTTAAGGGATACCTTTCGTTACGGCCAACTATCTACCAACTGAATCCAGCGGTGGGGTCATCTGGCCCATATCTTGCCATCTTATAAAGAAATCTCAGGTCCAGATAAACTATGTCAGGGCGTTCCCCCAATCTACTAAATGAGTAATTAAACCTCTTTCAAAGGTTTAGCTAGTTTAAAACAAAACCCATGCGTTTCTGGAGTAGGAGATCTTAACAGGTCCAGTCTGTTCGATAGAGCGGGGGGTGGGGGGGTTCCAACCCTGGCAACTTTAAGACTTTTGGACCGCAACTCCCAGAATTGCCCAGCCAGCTGTGCCACCTATGGGATTAATGGTAGCTGAAGTCTACCTGTCTTAAAACAGTGTTTCTCAACCTTGGCAACTTGAAGATGTCTGGACTTCAAGTCCCAGAATTCCCCAGCCAGCGTCTGCGGTCGTAAAGTGTGAAAAAAGGTCACAAGTCACTTTTTCAGCGCCGTCACTGAGTGAATGGTCCTAACTTGAGGACTACCTCCACTGCCGCCATGGCCGATTCCTGGCCCCACAGTCAGACTGAACACACCTGCCAGAAGAGCCCAGCCACCAAGGAAAGACCGGGAGCAAAGGTGAGGACATACAGACTCATGGGGCGGGAAGGGGGACCTCAGAGGTCTTCTAGGCCAACCCCCTGGACAAGGCAGGAGACGACCTCATATCATCCCAGTCAAAAGGTTTGTCCTGTTTTTGGAAACCTCCAGGACCCACAACTCAACCAACAACCTGCAGGCACCCCTGCAGGCGGCCCCATCCTGGCTGAGCAAGACAAGCCAGGATTTCTGGAACCCTACAAAATATCCAGGACTCTTCTCTGCCAGAAGAAGGCGACGGAATTGCAAGGGAGAGACTCCCATCGGCGGCCTTCCTTGGGGAGCCAAATGTGGGGAGAATTCATACGGAGCAACTATTAACCCTGAGACTGGAGCACAAATTATCTGTCTACACAGCAGAACCTGTCAGTTGTTTTTTGGGGGGAGCAGACCCCGTGACGTATACACTTTTAACGTACAAAGAGCGCTTGAAGGAGCACGGCCTGTGCAGCCTAAAGCAGAGAAGGCTAAGTGGAGATCCGACCAAGCGTTTCCCCCAATAGCCGAGGGGCCGTCCCAGGGAAGCAGGTCTCCCAGTCAGGTCCTACCTGGTGGGGAACTCTGGGAGTTGAAGTCCCCAAGTCTTAAAGGGGCTAAGGTCGGAGAACCCCTGCTGGATTGCACAGACTGGGCAATCTGGGTTTGAGAGGATTGTGAGGAGGAATCCCCCCCAGGCACGAAAGGGGGAATCTGTGAAATAGACGTTAGTCCTTTTGCCCTGGAGAACCTCTCCATTCCTGTGAATCTAAGAGCCGAGGTGGCGCAGTGGTTAGGGTGCAGTACTGCAGGCCACTTCAGCTGACTGCTATCTGCAGTTCAG